CACCGGTATGTCAACTGCAACCGCGGAGTGGTGTATGAAATCCCTTTCACATGTGGGAAAGTGTATATAGGACAGACTGGTCGCTGCATAAATACATGACTGAGAGAACATGCTCTAACCTTGAAGTCTACACCTTCTGAATATTTAGCTATGCATGTGCGAGATTGCTCCTGCACACCTTTGCTTTCGGACAAAAAAATGATCAGACGTTTTAAAGACAAGAGGAAGAGGGAAATCTTTAAAACAGATCATGCAAGCCTATGGAGAAAAATGCGTCTATGCACCATCTTTGGCGTTCCCTGACAAGGAGGTTCAGTACCTGAACCACTACATATGACAATCTTTGGAATTACGTCTGCACGCGAGCGCGTGAGGTGGTGAACCGGGTGGATCTTTGCGCTCGCGCCGGTATAGCTTTGGCTGTGGTGCCCGTTGGATCTAAAAAGGAAAATAGGTTGTACGAGCCCTAGTAAAAAAAATCATTTGTATGAGAAATTTCTTGTGTCCAATAAACACATATGAATCATACAAGATATATAAGAACATATAAGAACATATAAGAACCACATAAGAATTATATGAGAGCTATCTAAGAATTATATAAGATATATAAGAACCCCATAAGAAACTTATAAGAAACTTCCCACTAGTTTCTTATATGGTGCTTGTATGTTCTCATATATCTTATATAGTTCTTATATAGTTCTTATATGGTTCTTCAACGGTTCTTATATGTTCTTATATTTCTTGTATGATTCATATGTGTTTATTGGACACAGAAATTCCTCATACAAATGAGAATTTTCAATAGGGAGGCACTGATCGGTGGCCTATGAACGATCACTTATTAATTTCTATTCAATTTTATTCAGTTTTTATTCATTTTGTATTCTTATTTTGTCACCCACGGTCTCGAGGTTATTTTCTAGGCGTTCAGAATAGTATCGTATCGTATATAGTACAAAATCATTGCCTTTTTTTAATTTTCAATATTTTCATTTTGGTCTACTGTGCTTTAGTCTTTTCAGTCTAGCAATCTTCTTAGAGCGCCCCGGCTAGAAATATACTTTTTTCTTCTTTTTTTTCAACACCAGACACTTCCTTCACCTTTTTTTCTTTCTTGCATATAAAACCGTCAGTTGTGAGTTAGCACCTGTCCAGTCCACTTCTTCGTCTGTCCTTGTCTTAGCGCTATTTGTATTTTAATATGTATAACCGACTAGCCCGCCAGAATATTTTGCGCCACCAACAAAACACCGGAAAAAAATCAGCACCGAGCTCAAAGAGCTCCTATACCCATAATACCTAAACTACATCTCTTTGAAAAAATGCAGTCAAAAGAACGCCTGAAGAAAATATGAACTAATCAATCAATTCTCTCTTCACAATCAGAAACTAAGTACTCTGCGACGTTCGTTTACTCGAGACACCTCGCCTGACAAGGGCGTCATCAAATATTCTATACTCAAGAACCTTCCGGATAGCTGCGTCGAGTAACTACTTGACGCAGCTATCCGTCGAGTAACTACTTGATCGCATCAATGAAACATGGAAAACAGGAAATATACACCGGGCAAAAAATAAGCTAGTCATTCCCATATTCAAACCCTGAAAGCCACCAAACCAAGTCGAAAACATGCGACCAATCATGTTAACAGTTCGTATTGGCAAGCTAACAGACAGGATGTCTTGATGAGGTTAGAGTAGTACCTCAAACCCACAGACACCCTCCATTTCACTATGGCAGGTTTTTGAAAACAATTAACTACGCACGACTGCATGTTCATGCTACAACAATAACCCTTGAACCACCAAGAATGATTAAAACTAGAACAAGTGTTGGCATAAAAATCCGCAATGCTTTTGATCTGATCTTGTAAAATATCAAGCAGTACTCTACAAACTCCAAGACACAAACCGGGACATAGGATGCACGACTAACATCGGAAGCTTCTTAAATAATCAGACGTTTGTTACGAAAATTTACGATTATACAAGTCCGCCGATTCTACTGCACGGAGGCGTACAACAAGGCGCAACATTCTCTTCAAAGCTTTTTATTCTCTTAGACTTACCCCCCCCCCCCCCCCCCCGAAAACCTTTTATCTTACATTAGCCGGTCCTAGAGTCTGGCTCTCTTGGTTTTGTCTACACCACCACACGTTCGTCCCCCTTCGAATACACTCGAAAACTCCTCAATCAACCGACCGACTTGCGCGAGCACCGCTGGTCTCTCCCCGCATCCATTCTTCTTGGGCGCCAAGCCGACAGTTGACAGCTCACACGCTAGTGCTGGCCTGGAAGGTGGCCGCGGATATCCGCCGTCTCCACCAGCTCGCCACGACCAGAGGCAATCCGCCACCGAGGATGCCGGCAGTTCGTCCTTGAGCCACCCTCGGGCGCCGGCCTTTGGTGGAAATTTGGCGGCAGCAGGGCGAGTACTCGCTACCTGGCTGTAAAATACCTCTCACAGAAATCTCAACACATCCCAGCTCTGAAATGTAACTTGTAGGCGGAAGACATTAAGGTGTGGCGCACCACGGGCTCCCATGGACCCCAGAAGGTAATACTTTAGCGGGCATCGTACAGTCCAGGTGTAGACTATCAGCGTATGTCTTCCCTGCTTGTCAGCCAAGACGGAATTCTTTGTAGTCTTCAACAAAAGCAAACATGAAGTTAGAACGACCAGATAACAAAACCAACTCAAACACGACGACCTCCTCCAAAATTTTCTTATAAGGATTCTGGGCTTCGCCCTTTAAGAAGATGGGAAAGCAGACCAATTAATGAACACATGCACTAAGCGAGTGAACAAAAGAACTTGCGTACTACTGGGAATCACAAGTAAGAGACCTGGTATTAAGGAATGCGAAATTGGAAAGAATATTTAAGCACTGATAACGTTATCAGTGGCATACGCAGCTCCGTACATCGCACTCCCAAAAACCATAGAGACAAATTGAACTCTACTCAGTAAGGCAACGAAAACAGCTCTAGGATTTTCCCGCTTCACCCCTATTGTAAAGATTGAACAAACTGGCATATTAAACCAAATAGACGACAGGATCACCTTACGTCAGCTTGCCAACAACAATGGTAATAAACTTTTATTAGGGAGTAAGAGCCCTAGAATACCTGAACTATGCATCCCAACACCTTCTGCCCGGCCAATATTTTAAGCATTGTCTCCATAGGACACAATACCAAGAATGACTGTTCAATTTATTCCTATCAACATAGGCGCGGAATCATATCAGGACAAACTGAACGCAAGGCCACGACACACTGAATCACACATAGCATCAATACCGGCAACGTAATTTGTATACTCCACTGACGTCAGCTTCGATATGCACGTGAGGAAGGGACACGCATCAGTGGTAGGAGCAGACTTCCTACTTGGAGCCAAACATCACAATGTCCCATCCACGACTGCCCTTGAGACCCAACCAATAGCAAACGCCATCTCGACAACAAAATCACCAGTGGTATTTATACGCTTACGCATAGCCTGGGTATCCTCCGAAAGTTCACTAGAAATGTGCTGCCAGAGTGCACAAAAACCACTTTCGGAGAGCACTGCATCTTTAATTCCACACTATATGTAACACTCATACGGGTGCCTCGCCACCAGGGCATTGACGGCATCGCCAAAGCGAACGAGCTCGCCAGAGAGTTATCAGCCGGCCCCTTCGGTTCCTTGGTAAACCAACTACGACACAAGCCAACATAGGAAAGAACTACACTCCGTAACAAACTGACTCCTCCAAGAACTCCGCCACAAGCATACCATATCAACAAACCCTTCAAAATCCTCACGAGAGAGGAGTCACTCACCATCAGGAGGGCACAGACTGTTCCCTTCTCACTGCGCACTACTAATATTATATCAAAGGTTTGGCCGGGACTCCCAGGTGCCCAAACTGTGGAGCATATCCAAACACGCGCTGTGGGAAATTCCAGCTACGAAGAACACAACACTCAAACACCCCGCTGGCTTTCCCTAACACTTTAGACCATCAGCCCGGGAGGACTGGGTTGGCCTGCGAGAGGGCACGGAGTACCCTGCATGGACTGCGCTAGTAGAACTGATCCCGAATTCCTGGTAGAAGGGGTCTGATTGTGAAATTCTCAAACTGGGGACTTTCAAAAATTAAAATTATTCATTTTCTCGCTCTCTCTTTATCTCTCTCCCCTCTCAAATTTGAACTTGCGTTTCTTTTTTGAAGTTTGGAAGTGAGGAAGGTGAGTATCTTGACAACTTGATAAAAGGGTAACATTTAAAACGATCGATTTGTGAAGAACTCTAACGGCAGATACATTTAAGAGTTGCCAACATCTTTATTGATTTATTCTACACGAAAGAAAGTTCATTGGTCATTCGATAATAAAACCACTAATTTTGAAAGGACAAATTATTAGTGAATAATATTCAAGTTTTGATGAGATCGCTTCTGTTAATTGGAATAGAAAGAAAAGGAATCAATGCTACACATAATAATAATGTCCTTACAACTGAAATTTATAAAGCGTTAGGAATTGCACTAATTTCAGGCGAGCAGAGCCCCAGCAAGAAGTTAATATATAATGCACCTCTTTCTCTGCTCAACATAACCGTAAACCATGGAAGCGCAAAAAATAAGTAGTCTTTACGAGAGAAAGTGCTATAGATTTTTGCGGCGCAGCATCATGATATATTTTTCTATGTTTACAGGAAGTGTAATATCACCTGCCACAACAAATATTACAAGTGCTTGTTCAATCCAGTAACGGGCGCCATTTGATTATCGTTTGTTTTGGTTAACAATAAACAAGCATTTCTATTAACCAATTTTTATACCGTATTAAAAGTGGGCCTTTAGAAAATACTTCACACAGACACATAAGAGAAGATTTTTTTTTGGCTCGCATTTATTTCTCATGCAAGCGTAAACTCCAGTACAAATGTATTTAAAACAAATATCCCTTACGGTAATAGGCAGTGTTGAAAATTTTGAATAAAAGTACAGTCATCTCCATCTCTCTTCATGACTCTTGAACCATATTTGTAAAACCTTTGGTATTGGGGCTTAATGCTGTCTTTATGTAAAGTCCTTCGCACGCACATGTGACGGGTTGAGTTACAGGAAAATGGCATTCTTCATAAACGCATCACCTCAATTTCGGGCAGCGGTTTGGACTCTTGCTGCTTCTTCTTCTCCCTGAATGATACGAAACACATATCGAAATCTCAAAATACTAGGAACTCTTGTTTCAGTAACTGCTATGATGAAACCTTTGTGTTGTATGTGATTTTAATGGTCCTGTATACATGAGCCTTGTAGCTAATAAAATTTGACAGTTAAGATAAAATTAAACTAGTTGACCGTGATTTGTTTAAAGATTTCTTTTTGATTTGTAATGTTTCAATTAATCATGATATACCGTTTTTTTTTTAAACTGAAAATACATAAAAAGGGGCACTTTAATTAAAAACATGTTCCTTCTTGAGCAACGTTATTAGGGTGCATCTGTTACTTATGGAAGTATAGAAATTCCTGCGCGAATATTTCTAATTCCATCTCTTTTTTTAATTTGCGTCACTTTGATTTTATTACAGAAGCTTTATAAAAAATTTATTCGGACACGACATTAAATTTGTATCGTCATAACTCAAAATGAAAGATAAAAGATGGAAATAAAGTATTTAAATGTACTATCGCGAACATGTTACACAACATATCCTGTGAAGTGTACAGCTTCATCATTATTTATTATGCGATATCCATTTACATAGTCAAAAGACGTACCCATTTTACGAGGGAAAACACTTACCTTCTTTGCTTTATATCCTCCAAAGTATCCGGGAGTTCGGCTCTGAAGGTCTCGGGGAGCATTGCACCACATATTGCAAGAACAATACAGATAGCTATATCAACTACCTTGGGAGCCCATGGTTCAAATATAACACCCTAAAAAATGAACAGAATAGTTAGTTTTACTACAGCACGTTTATCACTTACACATCAGCACTCTGCAGGAAAGGAAGAAAACAACAGGTCGTTACTAGATAAGTGCGTCCGTTATTTAGGCCGAGTGGTGTTTGTGGACAAAACAAAAATAAAAATTATTATATACTACACGCGTTAATGGAAATTCAAAGATTTATAAATTTGCATAGGTTCCACTATCCAAACTAGCAGGGTAAATCATTTAAATCCTCGGAAACGAAAGGTATGTAGGAGTAAGAACGTAATGACGTTGCTTTAAAAGTATTTATAATTAGATGTGAATGCAGAACTCTGAACTACTTAGAGTTTATGTCGCCATCATGCATTATCGTTTTTGATATAATTACATGTCACCTTCCCCCCTTTCCCCAAAGAAATTAGAAGTCTCGATGTTTTGCGATGTTATCTATTGGAAACGAGGATTTTCTTACCGATATGCAGATTCCACATAAAACAGAAATCAAAATAAATTATATAAATGCATTTAGACCTTTAACAAAGTCGCACGCGTGCTTAGAACAAAACGAGCAGCCTAAATAACGATTCCTTTTATTTGTTAAAACACTTTTTGCCTGCCAAAAAAATATTAGCAGTATATACACAATTGTAATCAAATAATTTCTTCAACATATTTTGGGTACTCAGAAGTACTGGTCGCATACCAACGAAGAGCAAATTTATTTTCGCTCAGATTTTTATGACAATAGCGGTGAGAGTGGCGCCAGAAACACTCGGAGAAACATTCTGGTCACTGTCTTAAAATTTAATGTTTCGAGACTAACAGTCCGAAGGCATACTTTGACTCGTCGTTGTGAAAGGTAAATACATTTTTCTTGTGGTTATCTGATTATAGTAATATGGTTCTCCAGTTAGGGGACTTGGGGTTAAAATATAAATATCAAAGGTATTTTATAGATTGTAAATATTAAATTCTTATGTTTTAAATAAATTATTTGCGCAAATTTTATAATGATAGGGAGCTATGAAGACCGCTGTAGCACCTCAGGGTGTTCATGGGATTTTGTTGCTGTAACTGTAAATAAAAATACATCTAAACAACAGCAGGATGTGTTTCGCTTTTAGATTCTGCTAATTCTATGTTTTGTTTTCCTTCGCTGACGGAGAGCTTATATTGAAAATATGAACGATTTTGCGAGTTCAACTTTGAGGTATGAAGAAAATAGCTTTTTTTAAGACATTGCTTTTAACGCCCAGTTTCTTTGCCAATCAATTTAAAGGGAAGCTACGGAGCTTCTTGGAAAAAATGAGTTAGAAGTGAATTCTAGTGTATTTTTACCCCGTGAATCCGAATATTCAAAGCATTTGCTGCGTAAGTATTGTTAAACGCAAGAAAAACGCGAAAGACAGTCGCTGTCCGTGACGTCATCGACGGCTCTTTAGGTTGCCCAAGGCTAGGGAGGCGGGGCTTCAGTCCTATTTTGAAATTGCTCGTATGGCTCTCCGGCGCGTCGCATTGAAATAAAATTTTGATATCTGTTAATCTAAAGGCCAAATGAACGCAATTCAAGCATTTTTTCTCAAATGTAGAAGTGCCCCATCTTCCCTTTAAAACTTATGGTATATATAAAAATCAGGGTGTCGAACCGGAACCGAACCGAAAACCGGAACCGAACCGGTATTTTTTCCGGAACTGAACCCGAACCCGAACCGTTATATTCTTATCGCGATGAACCCGAACCGGAACTGAACCGGAAAAAAAATGACGGTTACCGGCTCATGTCAAAACGGTTCGGCCACGCGCTATTGACAATGAATGTGCTATCAATGCCATTTGTTTTTTAAGTGCCGTCAACTGGCACACACCTCGCTTACATATTTTTCTTCTCCACTCAGTCTTAGGAATATAAACGCTGCATCCATGAATCTTGACATAGGAACTAGTATTGCACTGGTCGCGGCTTGCGCGGAAGAAAGAAAATTGGAAGGCTGTGCAAAAAAAAAAAAAAAAAATCGCGTCACGGGATTTTATTTTTCTACAATCTCGTAAATCCTAAATGCTGCTGTGTGCTCATTTCATAACACGTTTCTAGAACGCGCGAGTTCTTGAAGCTTGCTTCCATCGGAATGAGAAAAGAAAAGGCTGTGGAGTTTGATAATAATGCATCCGGTTTCGTATAGGCACTTAGAAGCTAACATATCTGTGAGACAGCGAACTCTTCTATTTTAATATTTATCCTATTACGTCCTTCTGGCGTTGCGTTCGGTAAAGTGTTTTTCATATCCGTATCTTGTTTAATGAAAACTCCTTTAAGGGTCTAATTTGAGTTACCGAAAGGCTAGTTCAAATAAAGAAAGCTGTATTTTCTCCCCACTGTTACTTCAATTGCTTACACGCCGAGGTGGCGGGATAGTTAGCGAGTTCTACTTGTAAGTGGTTTTGTAAGGAGGTCGCGGATTTTACAGGTACTGCGTCGGACCCAATTAGATGAAGTCCGAATGCGTAAACGTCGGCGAGGTAACCTTGGAGTGCACATAAAGAAACCATTCCTGGTAGAAATCCCTGAGCCTTACATTACGATGTATCCCGTTTCGTATGTGCTGATTTCAGATGTTTTATTTGTAATTTATTTTGATGTTGCAATTTGTCATTTTTAATTTCCGAACCGGTTCGCGAACCGGTTCGCGGATCGAATTAATCGAACCGGAACTGAACCGGAACAAAATAAATTTGCCTGAACCTGAACCGTAACCGAACCCGTATTTTTTTCGGTTCGACACACTGATAAAAATATTATCCTAAAAGGTTTGGTAAAATAATGTGTCAAACCGAAAACTGGAGCTGAACCGCTATTCTTTATTGAACCTGGAGCTACACCGATCCGATACTTTTTGCGTCATCTTGGAACTTACCGTGAACCGGAGCAAATGTTAATATTGTTCAGGTCCAACGAAAGAGCTCAGAATTCCGATTCGGTCAATGCGGCTGAGCTTTCCTCTCAGCCACTACATTTCCTTTCGCCACCTGGTTTACATTTTCTAGCAGGAATCTTGGCGACAATATGCGGGCTAATATGCCATCAGGCACATTTACACATACTTGGGAAGTAATCCGTCACAAGTAATTTCGTGATTGCCACGTTACCTTTTTCGGGAGTATTTTGTAATGTAATTTCGTTAGGAAATATTGGTAAAAAATTACTTGAATTACTCGTTACTTTTTTTAAAAATATGAGCATAATACACTAACTGGAGCAATACGAGCAGAACATTCAGCAACATAAAGAGAGCAAGTTCAACAGAACAGAAAACACCAGGAAGGAGAAATTTGCCGAAAAGAAATCACGATTTTTTGTATGACCGGTCACTAGAACCCCTAGAAAAACGGGCACGGCACGTACAAATATACGAAAGACAAAGATGAAGTAAGACAACGCGGAGTAGGCTCTTCACCGCCTTTTATCGTGTTTTTCTTCTCCCGGGCAGGAGAAAGCTCTTCGTGTTTACTTGTTTTTGTCTTTTACACCGTTTCACCCTTTACAACTTCTTGCACGTCTCCCGACACCTGCGAGACATCGAACGCGTCCGTACCCCCTCGATTCGCGGGTTTACAACTCGCGTAACAGACGATGTAGCCTCGCGTGTCGGGGGCAAATTCCCTCTGTCTTTGATGTGCGCTACTTTATTCTAGCACGCTCTTGAGGCACGGCCGAAAAGCGCCCGGCGGGAGGCTATGAGCATCTTCTTCGAGGGTAGGGACGGTACTTTTTTTGGTTTACTTGTCTGGGCATGGTGGTCGAGTCCGCTCCTCACTTTACAGTAAACTGTCAAAATACAGGAGGGGAGGAAGGGCGTGGGGGGGGGGGGGGGGTAGTTAGGCCATCTTAGGCGTGCTGACAGAGAGAGAAAACGCGTAAATGTGGTTTGATCCTCCATGGTTTTGTGAGCCCGATGGCCACTGCTTCCCTCGCTCTCATTGCCCTCCGCTCCTCTTGCCTCCACAAATATTGGCATGAAAGTGAGAACCGATAAACGATCGATACCCGCAATCGCCACTTTTTTTCTGACTGGTCGAGTTTTCGGTCATGGAGTGTCCGTCGTCTCCATGGCCATCTCTTCATGAGATGTTCAAAATTCAGGGTATTAAGGAAAACGGAAACCTAGAGTTTCAGTACATACTTTGCTTGCCAAAACAAAAAGACGCACATTGTCATCAGCAAAACCAACATACTCTAATCTACGGAAAGACATCAAGGTAAGCTGGGACACCTGCGTTCTGCATTGGTTATGCATTCTAAAGTTAGAACCAAGTTTTTCTTTTCTTTCCAATAACAGGCGAAACACCCGAGCCAAGAGGGAGCATTCGTAGATCGCTTCTTTAGCTCCGAATCTCGTAGCGGCGGTAGACGCTGTTACTGAGCATGCGCACCGCTAGCCTTGTCTGCACAATTCTAGGGATCATTTCCGGAGGCCGTAAGCTAGCGGAATGTCTTTTGTAGTTGCAACTTCCGGTGCCTTGTCAGCTTACAGGTGAACGGAGTGCACCTACACTCTTTCTCTTAAGTACAATGTTTTATTTTTATAGCGACTACCATATTATGGGCGTATGAGAAATGAGAAGTAGTGTTGCAGAACATTTGAAAGAAATATATCAATATTGTTTCTATTGCTTTCTCGATAAGTGTACTGAAAACATAACGTGAAAGTAATTTGTAACGTAATGAGTAAAGTAATTTATTACATTTCAGCGAAAATAATTTGTAACGGTAATCCATTGCATTTGAGACTCGGTAATTTGTAATTGTAGTACATTACACTTCTCAAATAACGAGCACAAGTCTCCATATACACAAAAATCCCCGAGATCTTTACACAAATGAGTATATATTGCATCATTTTAACAGAAATTGGGAGAAAACCCCTAAAATTCGGCGCCGCGCTCGACCAGGTCGAACAAAAAGACTAAAAATCGCGCACCTGGGCACTTAACTGGCTAGCGCTCGCTGAAAAGTAAAAGCAAAAACTTGCAGCAGGAGACTTTCGCTCCCCCCCGCCCTTTCCTCCTCTTGGCTCGGAAAGTTATGCGGCGAATATACTTTATATTTATGTCAACGCATATGTGGTTTGTCTGTGACGGTTTACAAGACACGCTAATCGCGCTGGTGGTGGTTAACACGTGTAGTGGCTACAACGTACTTCAGCCTCCAGATTTTTTAACAATATTGCGAGAACGCCGACCGGCCGGTAGATCAGGGCTGTATAGCGGCGTGAAACAGCAAGCCACCGAGGCTAGGCGAGTGCCTTCTGCCACATGCGCGTAGTCTCGCTGACCTGCTCTTTCACGCCGCAATAAGGCGCTAATCTACCTGCTGGTCAGCGTTCTCGCGATATTGTTTAAAAATTTTGAGCATGTGCATAGCGTTCTTGGGAGTGCGCATGTTTTGTACCGGCGTGCATTCTCTTCATCAAACGTCTGCAACAGCGTGTCGTCTCTTCGGAAGATCCATCAGGGCGGGCTATTCCACGCTTCGAAAAAGTGGACGATCATCAGCTCCAGGTGAACATTTCGACAGCTTTGCAAATTCGCGTTGTAACGACAGGTGCACGTTCAAAACTACTTTTGTTCGGCCTTGCGTTCTACTTGTTCTCTGCCTTAAATTCTTTTTAGTCACGCGAATTAAAGATAATTTTGTTGTTGAATTCGGGATCTTTGCAGAAGAAAACATGGGCATGAATAGATAAGCCCTCTTGTCACTCACTGATTCTCGGTGGAGTATACTTGTCTCGCCAGAATATGGCACGTTTTGACACAAATGATGCTTATCCTTTTACTGTAAGTTGAAATTCGAATTGTACTCACTTTATGATGTCTGGAAGCCATGTATGAAACAAGCAGATATCCACCAATTGATATTGCCTAAAATCCATGTAAACTACGACGTTTCCTTCGTTGCGCAACAGGTCGGTATCTGATTGTTTCTTTGTTACCTTCGTACACAACCTTTAGGAACCCGTATGAGCCGGTTCAAACCGGATCAAACAGTTATTTTTAATATTTATTTTTTGCTCCGGAGCTCAACTTGAACCGAACGACGTAGTATTCGCGCGTTACCCCTGAAACCGAACCGAACTGAAAAAGTTTGGTTCGACTCTCTCGTTAATATACACAATTTCAAAGCTTTAAGCAATATAAAGATATGTTCCTGCTGCATAAAAAAAATATGCTAACTTTAATAAAACATGCTCCGTAATCCTTAAAATTGGAGCTTATTCAGTAGTGAAGTATAGTTCAAATTGATAATGATACTTGATATATTGCATGCGCAACTATGATTAACACGATAAGGAACATCGGTTAAACCTTACGTGGCAAAATATATTTTGGGAAATATATAAACCGAAATTTTCGGCCCCCTCCTCTAAATGAAATATGACCGCATCTCCACGTGGCGAATGATGATGATTGGGGCGAAGCTCTGGTGGTGCTGATGATACCGATTTTATTGATCGTAGATAGTGCTGATAGTGCTGATTTTTTTATTGCTTATAGGTAGTGCTGAGTTCCGGGTTGCCGTTTCGACTTCATTATTACTACTTTATGGTTGGTGAAATGCAGAGCCAGTGTTTCTTCTAGCGGATCAGCTTGGATCCGCTAGAAGCTGTGGGAACGCATCTCCACCGCTTACGTCAACGGTCCATGTCAGAAAGAGAATGTGTGGTATGGAACGTGGTTATATACGCATTTGAGCATTTGACCGCAGCGCCCTCTCGTGTATAAACGTATGAAAAATAAAAAGTAGTGTTGCAGAACATTTTTAAAAAAGATAAATATTGTTTCTATTGTTATCTCGATAAATGTACTGGAAACGTAACGTGAAAGTAATTTGTAACGTAACGAGTAAAGTAATCCATTACTTTTCAACGAAAATAATTTGTAACGGTAGTCTATTACATTTGAGGCTCGGTAATTTGAAATTGTAATATATTACACTCTTCAAGTAACGAGCACAAGTCTCCATTTACACAAAATCCCCGAGATCTTTACACAAATGTGTGTATATATTGCATCATTTCAACAGAAATTGGGAGAAAACCTCTAAAATTCGGTGCCGCGCGCGACCAAGTCAAACAAAACGACTAAAAATCACGCGCCTGGGTTCTTAAGTCACTAACGATCGTTGAAAAGTAAAAACGCAAAGTTTAACGCGAATATAAAAGCATTTGACCGCAGTGCCCCCTCCTGTATAGACGTTGATCGGCTACATGCAACGTTTCATCCATGACATCCCCAGTTCTTGAGTTACTACCACATCTCAGAGCCCCCTACGCGTCCCGCAGTCGTGGCCGAGTGGTTAAGGTGATGGACTAGAAATCCATTGGGGTCTCCCGCACAGGTTCGGATCCTGTCGACTGCGCAAACTTTTTTCTTTTTTTAGAAAACAGATGGGATGTCAATTGATATCACCACGGACGCCGGACAAGGCTAGACCCTAAGGAGCTTCGCCCCTAAACATATAAACTTAGAAGAACTAGTGGCAATTTCTTACCAGCTCTTTGGTAAATGGGGCAATGATGGCCCCAACGCGTCCAAGCGTGATAGTGAATCCCATGGCCAGTGTCCGAATCTTTGTTGGGTAGAGTTCCGACAGCTGAACGAAGTTGACCGAGTAGGCGCAGGTGCTACCCAGTTTGGTTAGCAGAGCAAAACAAAGTTGCAACCACCAGAGACCTGATTGGGAAACGGCAAAGACGTTGTTACCTAACTTTAGTTAACTTTAACTTTAGTTTACAAGAAAGGTGACATATTCAACAAGCCTCTGTATATGAGCAGTCAGACGTCGTTGATGCATTGAATTTGATATTTCGAAAATGGTTACAATCTTGTCTAGATACTTTTCAGAGCACAACACAAACAGCAAAGACCTCCGCTGTACGCTGACTATACTTCGTTTCATTACATGTCAGAACACAGCCGAAGGCACGAACACATAATCACTGGGCCTTCCTAATGCACGATTGGTTTAGCGATGATTGAACACGTATAGAGACGTGATGAGTATGATGGCGTGGCATATTTCAAACAGTTTACTTGGTCTTGGTCCCATCGGGCTGTAAAGTCGGCAGGAGAATCCCGGAATATTGCGGATATTGTGGATATTTATTTATTTGTACCTGCATCGCCCAGTGAACATCACAATAAGGGGGACCGAGAAATTGGCAAAAGTCCAAAGAAAAACAACAGAAAATAAAAACGATGAGATGGAAGAACATAAGCACTCAAAAGAAGACATTCCAAACGCACTACAATAACATATTTTTCTTAAAACAATCATTTTACAGTATGCAGCAAGTTCTAATCATAGTTTGTTTGGCGAAAAAAATACCTTTTTGAGGCGCCAATTTTCGCACAAAAAAATCTTTTTTTTTTCTTTTGGATGATTTATTGTACGAGAAACATACTTGGTGCCATGATATATGTTGATATATCCAGACCAATGTTACCGGAATAAAGGTTACTAAAAACATCTTGCGAGGAAAAAAGGCACATCTGACAACGTTGCGAAAATTTATTTATGCTGGGCAACTTCTTAAACTACAAAGAAACTGAAAACCGTTTCTTCGTCATATTTTAGTTTATTTTTTTATTTATTTGTTTATTCTTATATGACCAAAGACGGATTCTGGGATTTGAGAAGTTGGGCTGGTTTAAACGTTCTTGTAAAATAACCTTAGCTATGTTAATGACGAGACAGCCATTCGAAGCATCCAAAACGGTCGGGGCCCTTTTTATGATCACGAGAGCGCAGCCCGCTCTTAAGACAAAAGCACGGGCTCGTGCGCAGCGCTCGCAGATTTGCCCGTCGGCTGTTTGCGGGTAGATACATCACACTTCCTATCTTCGTTTCTTTAAAAAAAAAGTATTATATTGACCATGATGAATTACAATGTTCGCCAAACCTAACGCAGTAATGAGATGGTCTCTTTTCGGCACGTTTTGTACTATTGGTGGACTTACCGGCCCACATAAGAGGTGTCGTTTGGATCCCATATCACAATCTAGCGCGGCGAAGACTATCCAGCTACTGCAGTAACTGGATTAACTTCGAGTAGCCGGCAATATATAAATATCTTGGCAACAGATTTGCGGCGCTAAGTTCGGAGAGCACCCTAGGTACAATTGCATAAAATATTTATTAGCGCATGTTCACACGAACGTATATTGTGAACACAAAGCGACGTTAAAATGGTTTAAAGATTGGCTCTTAAAGGGTCCCAGCAACGACCCTTTGACTAGCATTTTATTTGAACCGTACCTGAGCGCACTGAACGTAGTAACTGAGTGAAACTTTCCTTTCATCGAATTACGCTTTATTTTAAAAGTTATAGGCCAATTAGAATTACGAAATAAAGCAAGAAATAACCTCCTTCATGACGTCCCTGGTCCTGGTTTTGGTGGCCGTGAACTAGAGGAAGGGTAGTGAGCTCAGCGAGCCCTCACGGCTGCCGCACTCCGCGTTGACGGCTCGAGAGGACGCCACTAAAGCATGTGCTGGATAAACTGGATGAAGCGAGCGGCCAGTGCCTCTCGCACTGCATTTGCTGCGCGTCTAAACACTAATTCGGGATGACACTTCTTTGGCCACAAAGAACAGCAAGTACCGGGTAAAGATCAGTCCACACACTAAAAATTTTAACACCCATGTTCGTGTTAAAAGGGTGTTTTTCCGAGCTCACACCCTTCCTACACCATTTTTACATGAGTTTTGAATATTCAAGGGTGTACGGAAAGGCCTACACCCTTCGTACATCCTTTTTACACCCTACGGCTACCGAAATCGTGTTAAGAGGGTGTTGCGGTGGTACACCCATGATTTCCGAGTCGTCGAACTCGGAAACCGCCGAATTGCAGACATACGCGCCGACAGCAGAAGTCAAGAAGCAGCCTGCTCAATTTACAGGATTTCGTGAAGTTCTAGTAAGCACAATGGGCAGCTGACATCCAAGCCAAGCCAACGCTCAAGTTGTTTTCAAGCCAGATGAATGCCGGCGTACAAGCTCCTTGGTTGTTTACGTGCAAGCGACTACGAAAATAGCATCGGTTACTCACGCACTTCTGCTGAGAATGGTGAGACCACATCGGTTCTATTATGATACATTCCGTCTCATCCTGAGATGTACTAAAGCGAAGGCTAGACGTGCGAGACGGTTCGGGCTCACAGCTTTACTGTGAGCCTGTACCGTAAAGGTCGGTTCCGACACTTGCGTTTGAGTGTGTTTGTCTGCGTTGCGTTTAGAACCGAAAACGAGTCACCGGCACATCTGTGCTTCGTATGAAGCGTGGATTCCAATTCAAAGAATCATATTGGCACGCGATATAAGCAGCAGGGATGTCCTGGTTTCTCGCAGCCGCAACGCGGTCAAACGCAACTGTTTGAACCAGGCTTTACGTGGTTGTCGTGTGCTTGTCCCTCGCGCTTTATTTTTCCGATTTTAAGTATTCATTTTCCACTCGCTCGCTTTTACCACTACTAGTAGATACTCAAGCTGCACGAGGGTTCGTGCAGTGCGACCATCTAGCGATGCTATGAGCTTGTGCTCGAGCCTTGGCTTTAATGCATCTTAGTGGGGAAGGCAATCATCGGGGATATATGACACACGATGATGCCAAGTCTGTTCACGGCGGATTCTCGTGCTGTTCTGATTGGAGGAGAAGGGGCGTGTAAAAAATTGGCAAATGGAACATGGTTAGCGACAGCGCAAATATATGTTGGAAAAAGTTCAGAATATTGAAGTGCCGCAGCCTGAAACTTTGGAGTTAAGCAATTAGAGAATCATTTAAAGACATCTTTAGAGGTTCAGCCTTCTCTCCCCCCACACCAATATCGAAGGCTGCTAGGATATTGGTTCAGGCTAAGCCCTCTGTCTTTCAGTCAGCGAACTCGAGCCGTTCCACCTGACCTTGTTATTCCATAACAGATATGTTAGAAAATGGAATGCAGATTTTCTTTACACGGCCAAAACATAAAGTGTTATCAAATAATACCTGCCATATTCATATTCTACATTTACAGACCGGGGCTGCCCGCCTGTGGAGAGTGAAGATGCGAGCAGCCTCGAAGCCCACCAACAGTGGCTGTGTGCTGAGAGCGAAAGCTGGTGCCTGACGAAGGCCAGATTGATCTTCGAATGGATGCGACTGCCTGAAAATGGCTACATGCGTTGATATTGATGGGCATATAGACTGCACAGAATGCTTATCTTTACCTGATGGATGCTAGGAGGGTATGCATTCCATACTTTTTTTACTGATCTCTACGACAATTGCTAAATTGCGCTTCCCCGCTCCGGGATTGCGGCTGCCGGATGACCATCTTGGGACACGGAAAATTAACCTTTTGAAGCGTTGCAGAGGCTGGCCGGCAGCGTGCTGAAGACATGCTTTTTCCTTGTTTGTCGTCATTGGGAGCGTTAAAGTGGCCCTGCAATAACTTTTTGACTGGTTTTTAATTTAAACCGAACCTGAGCGCACTGGACGTAGTAATTTAAAGAAACTTTTCTTTTCTCAAATTTCTCTTTACTTTAAAAGTTATAGGCAAATTAGACTTACAAAAACAAGCAAAAAATAACATCCTTCATGACGTCGTAGGTCCTGGCTTGAGTGGCCGTGAAGTAGTGAGCTCATCGAGCGCTCACGGCTGCCGCACTCAGTGTCGACGGCTCGAGAGGGTGCCACTAAAGCACGTGTTGACTAGGCTGTATGAAGCGGGCGGCCAGGGCAGCTCGCATTGCATTTGCCGCGCGATTAAAGACTAATTCGGCATAACACTTCATTGGCCACAAACGACGGCAAACATGGGGTAAAGATCAGTTCAGAACGGGAGCCACTTCGCGCTGCCATACTGCCAAAGGGTCAAATCGCCAGCCAAGCCCGCGCCGAAAGCCTTGGGAACGCTCGGAACCGGTCGGATCCTCGAGCCGGTATTAGACCGCAGTGCCACCGCGTACATCCGGGACCTTTCTAAGCCCATTGTTCGTCGGAGCCTCATCCCACTACCTACGCCTTTCTAGTACAGTAAAACCTCGTTATAACAAAACGGGATATAACAAACTAATGGATATAACAAAGCAATCATAATTCCCCTTGCTTGCTAATAGTGGGAAGAAATGGATATTGGCTATAACAAACTAATGGTTATAACGAAATAATTACGACCGCTCCTTCAACTTTGTTATAACGAGGTTTTACTGTATGCGCCGTTTTTTTCACCGCTTGGTGGCGGGTTTGTCGACGGGTCTTTTCTTGTTTCCGTACTTTATAAACTGCATTTGTTTCTTTTCTGATCTAAAATACTGAACACAATCTACTTTTAAAACAATTGAAACGGTTCGCGACACTTATATTTTGTATCGACTAAAAAAAAAAGCTTTTAGCGGCTCTGACCAGTAGTAAGCCCAGGACCAAAGACGTCACATATTCCGCGCTTTCGGCAGCGCGGGTCGCCCTCGTAGGTGAGGAGGTTTCCGCGTCGTCCGGTTAAAATATGACTCACTGATATTTAGTTATTCTCTCCGTGCCCGCTGGCTTGCCCGAACCCAAAGAGACGTGGAAACCGCAAAAGAGGTAGACGCTTAAGTATGATTGCAGCTCCCCTTTAAGTCCACACTCCTTTACTCCTACTCTGACACTCCGAGTTTCATACTCCAGGCACAGCAACTAAACGGCGCATG